GAGAAGGGACCATTCCCTGGAGAAGGATGTCATGCTTGGTAAAGTGGAGGATCAACAAAAGAGGGGAAGGCCTTCAACAAGGTGAATCAACATAGTGACTGCGACAATGGGCTCAAGTATTGCAAAGATCATGGAGCTGACTCAGGATAGAGCAGTATTTGGTTCTGCTGTGCATGGGGTCCCTATGAGTCAGAAACCACTTGATGGCACCTAACAACAACACCATGACATTAAGACTGGGGAAGGACACATTAACAACTTGTGATATGCAGGTGACACAAACTTGCTTGCTGACAGTCAAGACATAAAGCACTAATTGATGAAGATCAATTTGAGACTTCAGTATGGATTACACCTCAACATAAAGAAAACAAAAATTCTCGCAACTAGACCCATAAGCAACATCAAGGTAAATGCAGAAGAGGCTGACATTTTCATTTTACTTGGACCTTCTATCAAAATTAATGGAAACAGCAGTCAAGAAATCCAAAGGGTCATGGCACTGGGAAAATCTGCTGCAAAAAAACAAACAAACAAAACAAACAAACAAATAGAAACAGAAACCAAAACAGATAACCTCTTTGAAGTGTTAAAAGCAAAGATGTAATTTGAAGATAAAGGTGTACCTGACCCAAGCCATGGTATTTTCAAATGCCCCATATGCATGTGAACCCAGGAAAATGAATAAGGAAGATTGAAGACGAATTGACGCATTTGAATTGTGGTGTTGGTGAAGAATATTGAATGTCCATTGGACTGCTAGAACAAACAAATCTGTTTTAGAGGAAGTACAGCTGGAATGGCCTTTAGATGTGAGAACGGCCAGACTTTGTTACTCATACCATGGTTATGTTGTCAGAAGGGACCACTCCCTGCAGAAAGATATCTTGTGTAATGAAGGGTCAGAAAAATATAGAAGACCTTCATTGAGATGGGTTGACATAGTGGCTGTAGCATTGGCTCAAGCATAGCAACTACTGTGAGGATCACACAAGATCAGGCAGAGTTTTGTTGTGTTGTACATAGGGCTTCTATGAATAAGAACTGATTCAATGGCATATAACAACAGACTTAAAGGATAGTTGTCCATTTGCTTTGTAAAATTCCTAGTAGTATGCTGTCACATAGAAAGATTAAATATCTAGACATATATTATATGGAGGGAGCTCTGGTAGTGTAGTGCCTAAGGAATTTGACTACTAACCAGAAGGCTGGTGGTTCAAAATCATGAGTCACTCCTCAGAAGGAAGATGGGCCAATCTACTTCTGTAGTGATACTGCCTTGGAAACCTAAAGATGGGTCACTGTGGGTTGGATCTGACTCGATGGCAGTGGGTTTGGTTTTTGGTTATATTACATGGACAGCTTGCTTTGGGTTGAGACCACGATATTACAGACTAAGTGTAAACCAGCACCTTAGGCACTTAACAACTTGTAAACCTCCATGTATCACAAATCTAGGGCAATTCCATGAGGCACGTAGACAAGACAATATAAGCAAGCAGGTTGCATCAGAACAAAGTAGAAGGGTTAAAAGTTTGTTTGTCTATCAGATACCTTGAATTAAGGGCCCACTGGCTCTGAGATTGAGGTGTCAGGGATTAGTAAAACAATCACAGCAATCAAGGAAATTGTGGTCTCCTTTGAATTAGAATTAATTATATTGTTTTTTCATTGTTTCACACATTCCCTTCAGTATTTTTGGTCATCTCTCTTGGTTATATGATTGTTGTTAGTGTGGCTTTCAAATTATTTACAGAACCACCAGTTTTCTAAACCTAACAAATTATCCAAAGCTGTGGTTCTGATATATCCTGCTTGCCAATATTGTCTTGTCTATGTACCCCATGGAATTGCCCTAGATTTGTGATGCATGGAGGTTTACAGGATGTTAAGTGCCTAAGGTGCTGCTTCACACTTAGTCTGTAATATCATGATCTCAACCTCAAAGCAAGCTGTCCATATAATATATGTCTAGATATTTAATCTTTCTATGTGACAGCAAACTACTTAAATTTTAAAAGATGACCTTTAAAGGTATTTGAAAAGTATTTTAAGCTGGATTGTACATTGAAACTGTTCCTGAAGTCTCAGCTATATCACAGGAAGTCTCATCTATATTTCATAGAAAATTGCCAAACATTTAACTGTCAAGTGCTTTTGCTAATTCTTTAAGATGATTCTGACTTTTTGAGATGAGAGAGAAGTAAATCAGAGAGATACACTTCCCTTAAGTGTTCTCAAAGACAAAAACCCATGATATCTTCAAAACAAAAACAATGTGTTAAGCATAATATTACCAGCTAAGCATAATATTACCAGCTATAGTTCTAGGCAGATGCATTTGCCAAAGGTATGGGAAAGTATGTCATAGCTGATCGTAAACTCTTTAATATATAATAACTTTAAGATCTTAAGTTCTGAATAGTTCTTCTCAAATATATGAATATGGAAGCAGAAAGAAATACTTTTATTTATACTTCAAGGATTTTTTTTTCTTCACTTAAAAAGAAGAAACTATAATTATCATGATGTCATCAACTTTATTAATGTACAAGAATATTAAGTAAAACTTTTAGATTAATATGCATGGTAAACTTTGTAACACTTTTTATTTTGTCATTTAATATTTTTCAACAATATTCTCCAGTTTTGGCCAAGGCCAGAATTGTGGTAGACTTAGTGAGAGACACACCATTTATAACACAGAGAGTTTAGATTATACAGTTAATAAAAAAAAAAAGATGAAGATGAAACATTACAGTTAGTTTAATGAAACAAAATTTTTTAAATCAATGATGAAATATTAAATAAATTCTTGAGAATCATATATCTAAAATGAACACATTGTTGATATTTTAAGATTTTATTCCATTTTTTATAGTGTCAGATTAAACATTCAGTGAAATTTTTTAATAGTTAGATCTTTATTAATTCTTTCTTATGACATGTAAATTCAGTTAAGAAGTATTAAAGGGAAGAAGACAAAACAAACAACTCTCAAATGTGTACTACTCTTATTTCATCTTTTTTGGCCTGTATAGATTTTCTCACTGCATCTAAAATTAAATAACAGGTATTTGACAAACTATGACTAACAATAGCTTTAGAATGTGTTTACGATACAAGTTGAATGCTGCTAATTTTGGGAAAGGTAATTCATCTAAACTATGACATGTGAAGGCACATGAAATGCCTGGCCTTTGAGGCAAAGGTAAAGTTTACTTAGTCAAGTTTTGATAATGACTAAAAGTTCAAAGACAAACCAGAGGTGTAGAGACCAAGATGCATTGGAATGATATAAAAACACATCAGTAAAGATGTAATCACTTTACCAAGTCATAAAACAAGAGCTGAATGATGTTAAGAGGAATCCAGACATGATATTGAATGTCAGAAAATAAGAGAGAATCAGAGATGGAGATAGTGGCAAACACTGCCCATGATAAGAGAACACACTCAAATGTGATCACCAGAATGTTTACTTTTATTTCTAAAGTAAATTGGGGTTCATGGAATTGGGAAATAAAGAAATTAATATATCATTGTTGACCTAATGTTATGCAATACATTTTCATTAGGCTAGAGAGAAAATGTTCCTATAGCTATAGATTAAAGGAAGGGGAAGTGTAGAGTGTTTCATAGTCATAAAGAACAGATCTCTATTCACTTTGAATGGAAGCTCTGAACTCTAATTTGAAACAGATTCTGATAGCCACAAGAGCCTCAAACTTCATGATCATGAATAAGTCACAGGATGGGGCAACATCTTGGTTCATTCTCCATCACATGTGATTGCAGTGAGTCGAAGTTGACTCAATGACAACTAAGAGCACAGTCTGTGTTGCTGGGAAATAAAAATGCAAGTAACAAAAATATAGGGCACCAAATGACAGTATTGCTGTGTGTGCAAGCATGCACATGTGTGTGTCTATGTGCATCTCTTTGAAGCTGACCATTGTAGTTATCAAAGTATTAAGGTTAAGATTATAATAATTAAAAAAAAAAAAAAAAAACTCACTATCATTCAGTAAATTCTGATTTATAGCAACACCCATTGGGTTTCCAAGGCTGTAAATCTTTACAGAAGCAGACTGCCTCATCTGTCTTCCATGAAGAGGCCAGTGGGTTTGACCCACCAATCTTTTGTTTAGATGCCAATTGCCTTAATTGCTATACCAACGGAGTTCCTTGATAGTAAAATAGTTAACTAAATTGAACATGTATGGTTGTAAAGGAAGTATAGTGCATGCTCCACTTAGAGGAACACGTGAACCTGAAAATGAAGGTGGTCATAGAAAATTAGAGAAGTATATAGAGTATGTGAAAATCAAATTTGAAGAGAAAGAGAAAAATGTTCAAAGTAAAGAGGCATATAATGATAAAGGGTCAGACAATGCAGATAAGTAAAGTAAAAAGAAGCTATATTAGACAGATATAGGTTCAGAAGTAAAAATGAATACAGTTATAAATTATATAGTTGATATAGATTTAGATATGTAGCTATGTATGTATAGCTGTGTATAAGTATAGGTATAGGTATAGGTATGGATATGGATACAGGTGTAGATGGTGGCCATAGATCCAATTTACTTAAGATTCAGTTCATACATGTTATACCAATACAATTAATGACAGTTTCTTATTTATTCACAAGAATGTTTAAGATTAATTTTTACATTTTCTGCAGATAGATATAGGTAGGTATAAATTCATTGTCAGTGCTGACTCATAGCGACCTTACATACAACTGAACAACATGAGGCTCTTCTAGTCTGTCCTATTCTCTCTCTCACTGTGAGAGTAAGACAGACTAGAAGTGCTTCATGTTCAGTTGTACGTAGAGTCGCTATGAGTTGGAGTCTACTCAATGACACCTAACCGCAACAACAACAACAACATAAGTATGTCTTCTATACTTCAATAGAAAATTATTTTTTCTATGAAATTTTCCAAACATTCCACAAATTCAAATGAAGTAGAATACAAAGTGTATAATGTCATCCTTTTTGTAAACATGTCCTATGATATAAAACCTTTCTGAGGGCTCCTTTTACCTCTGTATTTCTTAGGCTGTAGATGATAGGGTTTAACATTGGGGTAATAACCCCATATAGCATTGAGATGAGCCTATCTCTGGCTGGGGAGTTGTGACTGGAGGAGGGGCGGAGGTAGGTAAATATTGTTGTGCCATAGAACAAACAAACCACAAGGAGGTGGGAAGCACATGTAGAGAAGGCTTTACGCTTTCCTTCAGCTGACTGCATCTTCAGAATTGTGGATATGATGTAGATATAAGAGATACCAGTGATCAGGAAGGCATTGACACCAAAGATAGATCCTACTACTAAAAGAAGCACTTCTGCCACATATGTGGAAGAGCAGGAGAGGGCCACCACTGGAGGGATATCACAATAATACTGGTTTACCCGATTGGACTTACAGAAAGACAGGCGAAATGTGAATATGGTGTGCAGTAGGGAGTTCAGAAACCCTGCTGCCCAGGTACTGGCCATGAGCTGGACACAGCGCCCCTTTGTCATAATGAGGGTATAACGAAGGGGAAAACAGATGGCTACATACCGATCATAAGCCATGACAGTGAGAAGGAAGACTTCGGTTCCTACCAGAGCCACAAGGAAAAACAGCTGCAAAACACACCCAACAAAAGAAATGTTTTGCTTCTTGGTCAAGAGGTTCTCCAGTATCTTGGGAACAGTAGCTGATGGGCAGAAAATGTCTAAGAGGGACAGATTCGCCAAAAAATAATACATGGGTGTGTGAAGCTTTTTCTCTGTCCCAATTGCAAGAAGAATGGCCCCATTTCCCAACAAGGTGACCTGATAGATAGCAGCAAAAACCACAAAGAGAGTGTAGCGTACCTCTGGGAGATCAGAGAGCCCTATGAGGATGAATTCTGTGATGGTGGTTCTGTTGAAGACATCCATATTCTCTTTCCACAGAGATCTTTCTGGGTGGAATGAAAGAAAATCACAAAGGTTAGACTCAAAATCAAGGGGCCAAGTGATGTGAAACCTTTGGGAAATTGTGGGTATGTGTTTGATGACGAATTATACTAACCCTATTTTAAGTAGACATTTCAAATATTACAATCATTGTATGTGTGATATTTTTCAGACTATTTATCCTCAGTAAAACCTTCTCAATAAAAATCCTTGTTGACCCTTAAACAGTATAAGAGATTTCACAATTCAGTGAAAGTTGATAGTGAAGATTTCACAATTGCTTGGACACAAACTTTATTCTTCCTTGGATTATCTCAGTGTACGTAGTTTTATGCACTTTCTCTATACTAAATATCTTTAATGTAAAAGCTCTGTAGTATCCCTTTATCATGATATGTTTTAATAAGTGTTAGTAGCTGGCTGACATAATGTAAATACATAAATGTTAAGTTAAGGAATGACTGAATTGTGGGTTACCTATTCTGAGAAAGTGTTTCTACTTAACTTCAAAATCATACTCATTTAAACATGAAAATTGTCTTGTTATTTCCTCAATGAGTATACCTTAAAAAATAAATTACTCTGTAAAATATAAATGGGACCTAGTTGATCTTGTCTAAATATGACCCTGACAAGAAACCAACACATTCACATACATACTCAACTCCTTTTTCACTTAAAATCTACATTTTTACCATTTGCACAAGAATACCTAAGGATATATAAAATTTAAATAAATAAATAAATATACTACAACATATATAACTCATACTTCCAGACCAAAAACCAAACTCACTGCTGTCAAGTCTGGTCCAACTCACAGCGACCCCTCCTTGGGTTTGCAAGGCATTATCTCTACAGAAGTAGATTACCCAATGTCCCTTCCAAAGAGTAGCTGGTGGGTTTGAACCACCAGCCTTCTGATTAACAGTCAAATGCATTAGGCACTACATTGCCAGAGCTCCCAACTTACTACTTAAAGACTTTTTCTAAGTCAACTCAAACATGGTATTTGGACTATTAAGGTATATTCAAATGTAATCAGAAAATTAACAAAAACTCATACTCAGTGTTTGTTAATTTATGGTTACATTTGAATGTACCTTAATAGTCCAAATACCACGTTTGAGTAGACTTTGAAAAAGTCTTTAAATAAAGTTCTGAAAATCAGTAATTCTGTGTAATTTTTATGTCACCATAAAAAGTGATTGTTATCTATTCTCTCTAATATCACATATTCAGGACAGAAATTTCCAAAAGTGTGTATGGTTAGAAATTTAAATCTGAAACACACTTTCTATGACTACTGCATTTGTTTTGTCTAATAGAAGTTGGAAGACACTCTGGTGGTGTAGAGCCTAAGGCTAACCAGAGGCCAGCTGTTCAAACCCACCAGCCACTCCTAAGAAGGAAGACTGGGCAATCTATTTCCTTAGAGATACAGCCTTGGAAACCCAAGGAAGGGTTGCTATGAGTAGGATTTGACTAGATAACAGTGAGTTTGGTTTGGCTTTTGGTAATGAAGCTGGTGATAATTTCTTGGCTCAGATAAAATGTGGTGTATAAATAATTAACAGTATATCATACATAATTATTTCTTTATACAAATGGTAATATATCACATTCTGGCACTTTTTTTCTTTGCAGCATTGTTTAATAAAAACTGCTGAAAGTATTTGGGAGAAGACTAATATAGTCTGGTACAGGAGGGAAAAAAATGCACCTCTTATGGATATTCTTCAAATTGTGAAATTAGAAAACGATTACAAAATCTCAGTGTTGGATAATATTATTCCATCAACCAAAGTTGGTTGAATGAGTTAATGAAGCAAGATTGAAATAAAAAACAAATATCTGCTGATCAATTCTCAAAGCCTCACATATTCAAGATTCTAAAGAGTAATTAAATTTGTCTGTATGTTTACATATAGGAGCTCTGGTGGCATAGTGCCTAAGGCATTTGACTGCTAATGAGAAAGCTGGCAATTCAAACCCACCAGCTACTCCTCAGAAGGAAGATTGGGTAATCCATTTCTGTAGTGATACTGCCTCAGAAACCCAAGGAGAGGTGGCTATGAGTCACACCCGACTCAGTGATAGTGAATTTGGTTATTTTTTTTTCAGTATATATTTAAATATTAATACTTTGAAGATGTAGTAAGTCTAGTTGATTAAAGAAGATAATTTTTTATGATAAATATTTTGAAACTGTAAATATTGTTGTATATTAAAGCCCTACTTACTTTTTTTACCCACATTTACTAATTTGACTCCTTTTGTCTTATCACAATTATAAGAAACAAGTCAATAGCCTTTTGTAAAAACACTCATACTGGCTTTACATCAGTTGCATGATCAACATGAGCCTAAAAGTAATAATGCATTTTCCCTAAGTATTTCACTTGATTATTTGTATTCATAAATAAAAAATAAAACTTACAGTCTTGGCATAAATAATGCAGCTATTATTCATGTGGATGGAAACTTACATTAAGGATCCACTCTTACTGAAAGAAATGTAAGTAAATATCTTGCATTTGTCGACATAATTAGAAAAATAGGACCTAAGTCTTTGTTAATAACATGTTATTGAGAATAATAACTTTCCTTATTAATACAGTGGATTTCTAGCTCATTTAGTAGAGACTCAGTAATTTCATATGATATGTCATCTTCCCATCTGCTTTGTAAGATCACTTGGTGTAAATGTAAGCATATGAGGAAATAAGACTGAATGTTAAAGTCAGCTTCAATAATAGTCATGAGCAATCAAAGGTGTAATGAGTAGCTAGAGTAATGGACATTATTAGACTGGAAAATTAGCAACACATGGAAGTGTTTTAGTGTTTGTTTATAATTTGTTTTTTCCTGTTACATATAGTTACAAGCAAACATGTCATATATGAAGATTATCTTTGTAGTAAGTAGGTACTTCAAATTTCCACTTTATATAGTAAAGGCAATTAATTAATTAAGCAAAATCATCAATGATAGATCTTAGATCTTAACATAGTGTTAAACTTATTATCAATTAATATACTGTTAATAAGGAAAAAGTGCATTTAGAAAAATAAGAGGCTATTGATTTTTTTTTTTTTAATATATTGCTAAGAAATATAACCTTCCTTTTCAATGAATGGACTGATAATTAATAAAACAGAAAAAGATTCTGTTCAATAATATCTTTGCCACCTACCAGACCTGACTTGTTATGGAACATAAATCCAGGTTCATGGTCAGAAACATTCATTATTAGACACAGCAAATACTTACATACAAAAGATTTGGACACACACCTACCTGGCCACACACATAAATCAACAATTTTTCTATGCACTGATTTATTAAACCACCCTAAAATATTCAAAAGTACCCACTTTATCTTACCCATCTAACATTCAATTTTAACTAGTTCCTTAAATGTGTAAAATTTCATATCATGTTAACATCTTTACAAACACCAATTTTTCATCTTAGCTTAGAAAATCTAGAATTAACCCACAATTTTGTTGTGTTCTCAGTTTCATAGATTTTATTACCAATGTGAAGTTTCCACAGAAGAGAAGAAAATAAAATGATCAAACAAAAAGAAATACACAGAGAAATAAACTCCAAATTTATATATACCACTCTTATTGGAATTTATTTAGTACCTCACATTATGCTCATTTTCCCTTAGGAGAAAAAATAGAATTCTAAAGAGAATATTCTTCTCATCTTGTTAAGTATAAATTAATGCCATCAAAATCATGTGCACTCACTTTACTCTTTATTTAATATAAGTTGAAAAAGAAAACTAAATTGTAGAGAGTGACAATTCTATTTCATCTAACGGTCTAGGTCATGAAAGTATATATTTTTCCCAAGATTTGCATAATAGACAAACTAAAGAATAAATTATTATTATGTTATTTTTTATGTCACAGAAATAATCATTCCAGAAAACCTGGTTAGACATCCATATTTAATATTTTAATTCCTCGTAAGTTAATTTTCACTCTATATTGATGCATTATTACACATATTTATATGTTGTTGCTGTTGTTGATAGGTGCCTTCAAAAAGGCTTCATCTCATAGTGACCCACTGGACAACAGAACCAAACACTGCCCAGTAGTGCACCATCCTCACAATATCTGCTTTGCATGAGCTCATTGTTGCAACCACTGTTTCAATCCATCTCATGGAGGATTTTCCCCTTTTTCACTGAGCCTCTACTTGCCAAAGCATGATATCCCTCTCCAGGAATTGGTATCTTCTGACAACATGACCAAAGTAGATGAAATAAAGTCTGAAGTCTGGCCCTTCTCACTTCTAAGAAGCATTCTGGCTACACTTCTTCCAGGAAAAATTTATTCATTCTTCTGGTAGTTCATGATGTTTTTAGTATTCTTCACAAACAACACACTTCAAAGGCATCAATTCTTCTTCACTTTTCCTTTATTCATTTTCTAGCTATCACATAGGAGCTCTGGTAGCATAGTGCCTAAGGCACTTGACTGCTAACCAGAAGGCCGGTGGTTCAAACCCGTCAGCCACTCCTCGGAAGGAAGATGGGACAATCTACTTCAGCAGTGATATTGCCTGGGAAACCCAAGGAGGGGCTGCAGTAGGTCGGGTCCGCCTTGACTGCACATAACAACAACAACAACAACAACAACAGCTATCACATGCATATGAGGTGAATAAAATACCTCTGCTTGAGTTAGTTACACCTTAATCTTCTAAGTGATATTGTTGGTCTTTAAAATTTTAAAGAAGTATTTTGTAGGGAGTTCTGGTAAGATGGTGGAATAGGCAGAAAGACTGCATAGACAGACCCTCTTCAACAAACAAAAGGGGAACCAATTAACACAGATACAGAAGATAATCCTGGACCCCTGACCTTTGCAGGGAAGGATATAGAAGTGGACTAAACTCCAACTAGCAGAAGAATTTCCATGAAAACACCAAAAAAGGAGACATATGGAACTGCGGTCCGG